ACTATATATATTTTGGCTTGTTTGTCATTGAGAGCTTAAGTGATGTTTTTTTTTTGGGTATTTAATATGATAACTTAAGTAGTTTGTTGCTTGTATGAGCTGGTTTGATTATAAGAATAATTTTTTTACATTAAAATCATAAAAATATGATAAATCAAATCTTTATAAATTTGATGTCAAAATATATAGTACTCCATAATGCACAAAAATCTTTTACTCTATGATTACAATTTTATGAGTTAATGCACAAAATAAAAATGGAGTAATGTTTAATTTCTTACAAACTTTATTATTGTGTAATTATTAAGGAGTCACATTCCAAGGGAAATTGTCATGCTTATGAAGAGTTCATCAATTAAACTTAACATTAATACATGGAATTTAATGCATGGAGTTTTTCAATAATTAATGTTATGGAATGATTTGGCGACACATCATAAGCCAAATGACAATATTGGTGACACATGGCAAAATATCATGTCTTGCCATGAGTTTTAATAATATATATTGATATTGATATTGATTGATATTGATATTGATATATTGACATATTGATTGATATGTGTCGGTTAACAGAAATAGATATAATAATCAACTAACTGCTATTTACCATACAGAGCCGTAGTATATAATTCCATGATTGACAAAAAAGTGTCATAAACTCACAAGTCACAACTCATCCGTTATTTTTTTTTTCAAATACAAACCTCAGTTATTCATTTTAGCAACTTTTTTGTGCAGCAGGTCACACCGTGTAGCGGCAGGGGTTACCCGAGTTATTTTAATAGGAGTTACCCCTGTTTCGGGTCTTTTTTGGATTTCCTGGGATACTGGTCACACTCTTCTGGCAACGAGACGGTCCAACCTGCAAAACAACAAATATTTTGGTAAACGAAATATTCGCCTCCGACGATCAAGTTAGTGATCGGATCGGAAAAGGCTAGAGAGAGAAAGTAGAGAGAAGTTGGAGCTATTTAATGCTCTGTTGTTTGTAAATGTCTTAATCTTGTGGTGACACGTGACACCCTATAACTGGGTTGTAATCCCCCGTATTTTTAAATATTTTATAAATGAAAATTTATTTTATTAATAATATTTATTTGTTATTTTTCATAATTTAATTTCAAAAGTTTTAAATTATTAATCTGGGTCGAAATTTATTTGAACAAATTATTTTATGCACCTTTATTCTACAATTTATGTCCAATCACACAAGCCTAACCCATATGTTTACTTAATTGACCCATTAATTTAATGAGGTCCAATATCCCTACTTACCCTAATACCCTCTCTCCTATAAGTACCCCATACATCCCCAAAAATTTCCCACACAAAAAGGTTAGTCTTATTTTCTCTCTCCTTTGTTTTATTAATTTGTATAATTATAATTATTGATTTATGAATTTGGATTTTATTGTTTGAAAGTAATTTAAAGTATCAAGTTGTATTTTGATGATTAAACTTTACAATTTCAGATTTTATAAGTGTCATAATTTTTAGATTTTGTAAATTTTATAACCTAGGGTTTTTAATTATTGAAAATCAGGATTTTAGGGTTTTTATGAACAATTGATTTAGGGCTTTATAGTAATGATGTTTTGAAATTTTTGTGATTATAAGTACTAATTAGTTTAACTTAATTCCAGATTGTTTTGAACACTTAAATTCGGGTTTTAATTTTTAGATTTCCGTTCATTAATATTAATCCCGTTTTAATCCCGATCAGGTTCTGAACTCATCCGATTTTGACAAAAAAAGTAGTGTTTTCCATGTGAAAACAACGTTTTAAGAAAGATTTTCGGGCAGTTTTTGATTTTAACAAAGTTTTTTTTATACTTAAAATATTATCCTTGAGTTTGATTAATAAAATTAATTATGTTTAAAGTTAATTAAGCATAAATATATTTTTTTTATTGAAGTTTTAAGTGCTGGAAATAGTTCCTAAGTACTACTTTTGATGTTTTATAAAGAGGGTTTAATCACCCATTAAAAACGGAGATTATTAGAGGTTTTTAAATAATTTTAAGATTTTTATTAAACTTTAAACTTGTTGTAATTTCATGTATAAGAGTGTATTTTATGGTTTTTATGAAGAAAATTTAAAGAACTATATATAAGCCTTTAATTTTAACTAAAGGGAGAGTTTTAAAGTGTTGTTTGATTTGGATTTTGAAGGTTTTAAAGTAAGTTAGTGCTGCTGTAAATTTGATTGATTGGGTATTGATTGAGATGTTATTGTTTGGTTTAGGAGAGGAGTTTAGTGAAGGCGATTTCTAGTTTTTAAGTGGCCAACCGAATTGTTTATACGAGGTACGTACATGTCTACTTCGTTGTAAGTAGTATCATGTTTAGGTACCAAAGAAGAACTTAGTTTCATGATTAGAGAACACTTGGATGAAAATTGTTTGATATACATTTAATTAATTCATGTGCTTATATTCATGAGACATGTTTTGGTGAATTGATTATGTTTATATGGAATTATGGATGCAAGCATGTTGAATTATATTGGATTAATTGTTTGTATGGAATGTTGATACAAGCATAATTTTATTGGTTTGTTAATCACATTTGGATTATTAAAGGATTGGAATTGAATGGTTTAAGTGGAATGAATTTATTAATTATTCCACAAGGTTGTTATTTATTTATTTATTAATCAAGCATGACTTGTTAGTTTGTTGAGTAAAAGTGGATTAAGCCGAAATGGCTAGGTGGGTTGACTATGTTCAACAATTTGGATAATTTGGAAGTTTAATGGATTTAAAGGTCGATTTGTGATGTGATCACCCTTGTCCTAAATAAGATTAAAAGTAAATGGATGTATGATTTTTATGTATGGTCTATTTGATTGAGTCAGCTATTAATTAAAATTGTAATCATGTAAAGTGAAACATGGATGAGCAATGAAACTCTGGAAAGCGTGCACTTCTGGAGTATTGACAATTATGGGTTGGGGTACACGGTGGTAGCCAGTGGCTTTCCGAGGCTTGTTTGATCAACATGTCCTCTTTTCTTTTGGTATTTACATTTTATTTTATAATGAAAGTTAGATGGGATCCTAGACTAAGTTTGTGAGAATGGAGTCGCGCCCATTCTTGCATCGCGCTAAACTTTTATTTTAAATGGTCATTTGGGACCAAAATGATTTGGTGGATTGGACAACCTCGTCTATTGCTTACTCCAAATTAAATTAATTAATTAAATATAAAGAGTCGAGTGTTTGGAATTGATTAGAAAGTATGTTGAGTCGATTGAATTGTTTAAGTGTGGAGTCTTGATTAATGAATTCGAGTTGTATATTAATTTACTTTAATTAGTTGAGCATGCTAGGTTTTGTGCGTTGTAGCTTGTATGTACTCAGCTTTGCTGATTGCGTGCTTTTGTGTGTTTTCTTTTGGTCATGGCCTTCGCCTTTCAATGACCCTGTGATGATCCAATTATTACACTTGTATTATTGGGGAGCAGTATTGCACAGGTTAGCTTGATGATGTGAAGCTCGGGGATTTGACATAGGCATTGTCAAGGGATTGGTGTGATTGAGAGTATTTGTTCTTTGTGTTGAACTTATTTATGTTTTACTATTTTAATTATGTTTTGGGATTTTGAATATTGGTTTGGTTTTAAATAAGGGCCTTATATGATTCCAATTTGTAAGCTTTGACTCATTGGTTTTCTAAATTATATTATTTTAAGATTTTAGTTGGAATTCCGCTGCAATACTTTGATAAAGCCTTAACGTTTTAACACGTGGCGGTAACATGCCAATGGTTCTCCTCTATTTTTATTTAAAGTAAGTGGTTTGGAAATGGGAGAATTATTGGGGTGTTTCATGGGCCACGTGTCACTACGGGATTGGTCCATGTATACGAGGTATTTTTTCCCTCAACAACCCCAATTATTTTAGTAGGGGTTATCCAAGTTATTTAGTTAGGGGTTACTCGAGTTACTCGGTTAGGGGTTACTTGAAGAATTCAGACAGGGGTTACTCCAGGGGTTCACTCGGTCAAGGATTACTTGAGGGGTTACTCGATCAGGGGTTACTCAATCATGGTTACTCGATTAGGGGTTACTTGAGTTACTCGATAATGGGGTTATTTAAGGAGTTCGGTCAAGGTTTACTTGAGTACTTCGGTCAGGGGTTACTTGAGGGTTCAGTCAAGGGTTACTTGAGGGTTCAGTTAAGGGTTACTGAGTTAGGGAGGTTCCTTAATTGAGGGGTTACTCAGTCAAGGGTTACTTAAAAGGTTCGTTCATGGATTGCTCGAGGGGTTACTCGGTCAGGGGTTAATTGAGTAATTGCTTGAAAATGGATTACTCGAGTAACCGCTAATTCCCCTCCCTACAATGTAATTGCTTGAAAATCGTTGCGAAATTAGGGTTGCGGTTTTGGTTGATGTGTATTTTTCGATTGAAATAGAGATTGTTTAGTAGTTTCGAGGTCGGTGGCTGCGGATGGGGTGGCTAGGGTGGGTGAGTTTCGTGGTGGATGGGGTTCGTGGGTTGGCGAGTTTTGTGGTGGTTGGGGTTCGTGGGTTGGCTAGGTTCCGTGGTGGTTGGGGTTCATGGGTTGGCTGGGGTTAGGTGGTGATGTGGTGGTTATGGTGGATAACTAAGGTGGAAGATGAGAGATTGAAAAAAAAAAAAAAAGTTAACCTGTTAAAAACGTTATGGGTTAAAATTAAAGGCTTATTTTGAGAAGATGGGGGTCAAAGGTGAGATTATTTTGGGAATTCGAAAAGATTGGATTGTTATTACTTTGTATTTAGTTTCCATCTTTCCTATAGTAAAGAGCCAAACCCCATTGATATCTTATATCAACAAGTTTGGTTGATATAATGGCATTTATAAAATTATAAGGCTTGCCTTCATTAAAATATTGTTTGTTTAATAAGCAGGCTGACTAGGACACTGTTTTATTTCTATTTGTAACCCGTTCAGCAAAAGCACAAAATAAACGGCTGATGTATTTGACATTTTGACGTTAGTGTAAAGTGTTACTTCCCAAAAGAAACCTGAAGATAGAGAGAAGTGAGTGAAGGAACCAAGGTAATGGCGGAAGTTCTAGTTAGATCTGGTTCGAAATTGGATTATTCCTAGCATTTTGTAAGTTAATTGTATAGATAGTGTAAGCCAATTGAAACCAAAGGATAGATCGAAGATAGCGAAGAACGAAATTAATGGCGACATTCCTTCAGCAGTTCGTAGGTGGCAACCTTCATCCCGTTGTGTAATTTTTGTAATCGAGTACTCCCAGATCAATTTTGCTTTAGTTTCGGCCCGAATCTTAGGTATGCCGCTCGATTTTAAGTTTTGATTGTCTTGAATTCGCTGCTGTTAGATTGCTGTGAAATTGTCAATTGTTTTGTTGATTGATTGTTGTGAATTCCTCAAAGTGTAGAAGAACCATTGAAGTCCAAACGCGCATTCTAGAGTTTGGAAGAAGATAAAGGCGATAACGTTGTTAGAAATTGTCGTTAACGTTCGTATTTCCCAGAACGGACTCCATCAAACGGGACTCTATAGTAAATGATTGTTATTACCCGAAGATGGCGTAATATTGACGTCAGTTAATTGCTGCGTTTTAAGGACGCTGCGTTTTTGCATCTTAAACTATAAAACTCTCTCCCTCTCGCGCTTTCCCTCCTCCTGTCGGATTTTTTACGAAACTAAGCCTTATTAGTAAACTATTTACGAATATAGACGCGTGGCCAAACTATTTACGAAACTGAGCTTCTGAGGTAAAACGCTGCCTCGGTCAGCGTTTTTCCTCATTTTTATTTATTTAATTTGTTTTGAATTATGTATTTTGTGAAATACAAAATAAAAAATAAAAAAAACTGAAATACACAAAAACACTGCCTCAGTCAGCGTTTTTGTGTTAGGCTATAACAGGTCTTAAAACGCTGACTCAGGCAGCGTTTCATTAATACTAGAAACACGCTGCCTCAGTCAGCGGTTTTGCCTGGTATATTCTTCCAGGCAGACGCAACGCATTCACTCTTCTTCAAAACTAAAAACTCAAACTCACTCTTCCTCAAAGCTCTGCCGTCGTCGTCGCTGCCGCCGCCGCCTGCTGCCTGCCACCGTCGCCGCCGCCTACTGCCTGCTGCCGCCGCGCCTCTCCTCTTCTTTATAATCACATTTTTGGTACTTCTCACTTATTTGTTTTTAAAATTTTAAAACCTAGGTTAGTTTGATAATTATATAGTACATTGTTTTAATTTGATAATGTTGTTGATTATTCTAAGTTAGTTTGATGTAAATTGATAATTATGTTGATAATTCTAAGTTAGTTTGTTGTAATTTGATAATAGTGTAGTATAAAAGCCCTAAATTGATGTTAGTTTAGTAAGAAAGTTTATGATGAAATTGTGGAAATGTTTGGTAAAAATGTTGAAAATGTTGATGAAATTGTTGATATTGTTGATGAAATTGTTGTTTTAATTTGATAAAATAGCCTACATTGTCGTTTAATTACGAAAATTATGTTATGTAGAATACGTTGGTTGTTAGTGTGAATATGTTCGTTGTGTACTTTGTTTTGGTTGTTATGTGAATATGGTTAATTATGTTTGTAGTGTGAATTTCTTGGTTGTTATTGTGCGAATTGGTGGAGATTGCATGCAATTAAGATGTGTTTTTGGTTGTTGTATAGAATATGGCTGCACAAAACGCAGCTTTGTTATGCCGATGGGGGGGTGAATTTCTGTCTGATGGACCGAATGTCCAGTATAGTGGTGGAAATATGGAACCATTGCCACTTGGACCAGACATGACTTTCAACGATCTGATGAACGAGGTTCATAGCATTATTGGCTTAAACCGAATGAATGTACAACTTAACATTCAAATGAGGTTTGAGACTAATAATGCGGTTCAAGTGTTACCTTGTTCTAACGATAGACATTTGAAAGCTTTGAGGAGCGTTGTTTTAATGAGGGGTTATCCACATGAGATATATCGCTTATATGTAATTTTTACTTTATAATTGTTGGATTATAACTGTTTATGAACAGATACCATGGACACTCGAGATAGGACACCCGGACCCACCGACCCTTCTGTCCTTACACTACATGACACACATCATAGCGTTGACATTTGGAGTCAGTCGGTTGATCCGGCAGGCATACTGACATGCAGGCACTACACTGTTGCGTTCCTTGGCGATTGGGTTATCGATCCCCGCATTCTGCCTTTCGTGGAGTACGCTGGCTTCATGGGTATACATCGGATGGCGTTCAGAGAGGTCGACCCAGCGCTTGTTACTGCGCTTGTGGAGAGATGGAGGCAGGAGACACACTCCTTTCATCTACCTGTTGGGGAGGCGACCGTGACGTTGCGAGACGTGGCGATACTCACACGGCTTCCCATTCATGGGAGTCCGGTGTCTGGATCTGCGTGGCCGATCCCCCCGGTTATGTAGCTCAGGTTCTCGGGGTTCAGCCAGGACCGGACGATATCAGGGGCGGCGAATTGAGGACCGGCTGGATACGCGACACTTTTCGTGTGTTGCCTGATGGTGCTGATGAGGCCACTATTGCGAGACATGCTCGAGCGTACCTTTTTCTGCTCATCTCGGGTGTGTTGTTCGGTGGCAAGAGTGGCAGCCATTTACAGATCATTTACCTGCAGCTGGTAGACCACGACTGGGAGCATATTCGTGGCTACAGCTGGGGCAGTGCTTGTCTGGCGATGTTGTATCGCCATCTGTGTAGAGCATCCCGCCGGGGTTCTCGTGAGATCAGCGGACCGTTATTTTTGCTTCAGGTAACCTACCTATCTGTTAACAATTTCATTCGGAAAGTTCTTACTTAGTTTACAATTAACCTAGTTTTGTGTGTTTGATGTCCAGTATTGGTCTTGGGAGCACATCCATGTAGGCAGGCCAGGTAGGCCTGCTATACATCGTCAGGGGCAGCAGGATCAGGACCAGCAGTATGAGCGGTACATTCCTCCACCACGGCCTTCCGCTAACGAGGCGTACGCTTGCAGATGGGCGGTCCCCAAGCTGACATATGCGCATGCGGCGAGGGGCCTGTCGTACTACCGAGACGCCCTTGATCGACTGACCAAGGATCAGGTGAAATCTTTAATTTGTTTATGAAATTGTTATTTATTATGTATACTCTTAACATATTTAATATGCACTAACCTGTTTATTATGTTACTTTTTATGTGTTATCGCAGATGACATGGGACCCGTATGAAGCTAATTTAGTTGCTGCCATGCCTCCACATCTGCTAGATCATCGGCGCAGTGGTGTTCTAGGGTCCCCCTGATCTGTTTTGAGGTCGTCGAGGGTCACCTACCAGATCGAGTCATGCGACAGTTTGGACTACGACAGACTGTCCCCCAGCAGTGTGACACCAGTGCCCGGCTGCACCGCATTGACCGTCGGGGAAAGAGCGACAGGAACTGGCGGACGGAGCATGCCTAGTACATTGACTTGTGGCATCGACGGTTGGAGTTCGTCGTCACTGGTGACCCCATCCACGGCGTTATGGATCCATACGATCCATACATGGAGTGGTACATGCGGATTACACGGCGTTTCATCAACCCCAGCTACACACCGCCATCCGCACATTACCATCCATCCTTTGACGTGATCAGGGGATATGTAAGTGTATTTGATTAACTTATTTTTATCAATTTTAAATTTGTATATCATTCAACTAACTCATCCTTAATTACTGCAGGCGTTGGATATGACGGCGATGGTTGACGCACTGTCGGACGTCCTTCCAGGCATACCTGAGCCCCCAGAGCACAGGTCGAGCGGGTGCGAGATATGGGCATGGCTACCTTGCAGAGATATGGTCACGCCTATCTCGTCCACCCCTGGGACGATCATGGCGGCCACTCTAGTCACTCACAGTTCGAGGCTGGCCAGAGTAGCTGTGGGGGTGATCCTTCGTCATTCACGGGCGTAGAGGAGTACGACATCCGCAGTTCCGCGCCCCTACGTCATCCTGATGACCCATCTTCCAGCCAACTGACTCCGCCAGTACGCCCGAACCCATTTACCACGGTCTGTCACTACAGCCGTCGTCAAAAGCCGAGAGTGGACATACAGGATAGAGAGCCATTACACCAAATTGATGAGTCAGAATAGGATAGTATTATCTGATTTATTTGCTGTAATGACCTTCTCTAGTTTGTTGTACATAACACTTACATTACATTATTATTTTAATAATTATTTGAATGAATTTATGTCTTGTTTGAATTTCAAATTCCTTATTTGTCCACGTTTGACTCATTTCGTTCAAAATAAATTGTGGATGTGGAGGTGGTGGATGTGGAGGAGGATGGGTGGTGGAGGTGGTGGATATGGAGGAGGAGGGTGGTGGAGGTGTTGGAGGATGTGGAGGAGGAGGGTGATGGTGGTGGTGGATGTGGAGGAGGAGGGTGGTGGTGGTGGTGGATGTGGAGGAGGAGGGTGGTGGATGTGGTGGATTTGGAGGAGGGTGGTGGATGTGGAGGAGGAGGGTGATGGTGGTGGTGGATGTGGATGAGGAGGGTGGTGGTGGTGGTGGTGGATGTGGAGGAGGAGGGTGATGGTGGTGGTGGATGTGGAGGAGGAGGGTGGTGGAGGATGTGGAGGAGGAGGGTGGTGGTGTTGGTGGATGTGCACTGGCTGCTGTTGGGGGCCTGCTGTTGCTGCCTTCAGCCAGCAGATAAAACGCTGACTGAGGCAGCGTTTTATGCTTAGGTGTAAAACGCTGACTCAGTCAGCGTTTTTCTCTGTTATGTATACAAAAAAAACGCTGACTGAGTCAGCGTTTTACTGTATTTCCATTTTTTTAAAAATTTGTATTTCACATAATACGAAATTTTATAAAAAAAAATAATAACCAAAAGTAAAACGCTGACCGAGGCAGCGTTTTATGTCAGAAGCTCAGTTTCGTAAATAATTTAGCCACGCGTCTAGATTGGTAAATAGTTTACTAATAAGGCTTACTTTCGTAAAAAATCCCCTCCTGCCTTCATTTTCTCTCTCTCCAACACTCTACTCACCACTACCAATAAATCCACCATTGCACTTCTTCCAGAAAAAAATTTAGGGTTTAAATTCCTAATTTACTCAACGATCTTCACCGAATTTCCAATCCCTGATTAATTAATTATGTAAGTTCAATTTCATTTTTTTCCTAATTCTAAGTTTTCTTGTTCAATTTCTTGACATTTATTTTGTTTGCTTACATTGAAGGGGGATGATTAATCTGGAACTACGATGTCCGAAGAATGTCGATCCTAACCCTAGCTGGAACTTCGACAATCTTATGTCGGAATTGAGTTCGTTAGAGTCTAAGCTCTACAAAAATGGCACTGATTCTTCGTTAAACCCTAAACCTTTCATCAAATCACCAGCTCGGTAATTAGCTATGCTGGTCTTCAATTTGTATTACTTTTAATTAGAATTTTGTGTTTGTTTTCGTGAATTGAGTTAGTTTATGGATTTGTGTAAGTGTGTGTTCGTGTGGTTGTAGAGATTTTCGCAAAATTGGAAGAAGAGAAAAGAGTGTGGAGAACTCGAAGGCGTTCGTAATGCGAATAGACGATGTCGAGTTGGATGAATTTGATGATGATGAGGGAACTGAAGCTGGAAGCTTGGTGCCATCCAGTCGATTTACGTTTACTGATATTTATCTCAGGTATTGTTTCCAAATTTTAAAGAAATGTAGACAGAGATGTTGATTGTTATGTTGGTGTTCAAAATTGACAAGTTACATTGCAATAGTTTCCTGTCTATTCAATTGAAGTTATATGCATCAATTTTGTAATCTTTGGCAGGTTAGCGATCTGTGACAATTAAAAAATTAATGGTATGAGTTGAGGCAATTGTTAGTAAAGAATATGATGGGAAGATTAATATGTTTAACTATCATTTTATTAGAAAATATTTAAATCTTCTTTGGGTAACAGATTGCAAAGATAGTGTTCTAGTGTAATATATACTAAGATGCTTAATTCTTCTAGTGAAAGTGATGATTCAGACGATGAACAAATGCAACAAATGCAAGTTTCTGTCATGGATAAAATGGGAGTGGTAGAAGGTGCATTCCTTGAGGTGACGCATGAACACCAGCTCGGTGTTAAGGTTTGTTCTTGCTTTTATCTGGTTTGTTGCATTTTTTGTACCCCTTGAAATTTTGCTAAAATGTCTAATATGTTGTGTTTAGCACCAAGTTTGTCTTAAATCTCAACTGTAGTATTGTATTAAATGTGCTCTTAGATCAATTTATTTAGTGTGCTTGCTTCCATTTTTAAAATGCAATTTACTCATGTCTAGTGTCCATACACCATGAAGTTTCATTTTAAAGTCATATAGCATTCTTTTCAATTCGTTGGACTCTCACAGAAAATTATTTTAATCCCTACATTCAAAGAATGTTGCATTGTTGCAGCTGATATCCGCCACATGCCCTCCAAATTTCTTAGCTATCTGATTTTTATCTCTGTCAAATTCAGTGGGTTGGAAGCTATGTTAAGTCAAAGGCCTTATATGATCTTCTGAAAGCACATTAGAAGGTGAAAAAAATGATGAAGCAAAGCATTTTATGTAGTTCCCAACGTTTTTTATTAATAAAATTTAAATGCAAAATTTATGTCGAATATCTTATGTGTAATATAGTTGTGCTTAGAAGCTGCTTCTCTCATAAATTCTTAGGAACTGATAGATGTTGTTTGGTTGAGTATGGATAGCTCCACTAACCTAGGGGAACCTTAGTAAGCAGCTTCCGTTATTGATAAATAGAACTTCCCCAGAAAGTGTTACTTTCCATGATTTTGTCAATCAACTAACTTTGCATTCTTTCCACTCCCTAGGATTTTCACTTCCCGTGTATTTTGGTGTCAACCGAACAACTACTCTGTCATTGTTCAAAATTCGTATAATGTTATATAATTATATAAAGGCAATTTTAGACAATTTCTTTGTGTTTCAAAAAAAAAAAAGTCAATTTCTTTGTTTCTTACATTCATGGACTTAAGCCTAATATAACATTTATTTAAGAACATAGGGAGCATATATGTTTTGTGTAAAATCTGTATAAATACACTATTTTTGTCTTGTGGGTGTGTGCTCAATATATGAATTAAGATTCATTTTCTAGAACTTCACACCTTCCATTATAAAAGAATGCAAGTTTCCAAAAGCAACCTTGAAAGGTGTGGCATCAATTTGCCCTTGTGCAATTCCTTCTAAATCATATACTTGGAGGGGGGAGGGTGCAGGGCGGACGGTTTCGTTAGATAGAGAACTTATAAATGTTGCTTTTTAAGGACATCAATGTACTTCATAAGATAGTAAAGATGCCACTTGGATTCATTTGTAAATTTCCTGTTTTTGGGAAGGAGGGCAGAAATTAATGGTTTTAAAAAATCTGACAGGAGGAAATCAGGAACCAATTAGCAGTATTGGAGACACAGTTGGTGGCTGAAAAGGAGAAATCTACATCAGCCCTTGTTCAAGTTGAGAAAAACATTGACGTTAGACGGCAAATGGACAGAAAACTGGATTTGCATTACCAACGCAAGATGTAAGATACCACTTAGATTCATTTGTACTTTTTCTCGAGTGTTGTGGACCTTGTGGGTTCATCCCTTTTAGATGCTTTAGCATTGGCTGGATTTGAACCCATCTTTGAGGTTGTCACGGTTCAAGGAGTAGATGAAGCCGTCCACCCCCTAGATCTTTTTTTTTTTTTACTCATTTACATATGTTGACTAGTCTACTTAGCTTTGTCTTTTTTTTTTTTTTTTTTTTTTTTTCAAACCATTGCAGTGCTGAAGCTCTTGATGATCACTTGACAGCCATTCAAAGGGATCATGAGCACAGATCACAGTTAGAAGAAAGAAAAATAAGAGATGATGCTGCTGTTGAAGAAGCCAAAAGAAAAGAGAAGGCTTTACAAGAAGAAAAGCTGCGCCAACAGAAGGCCAAGGAAGATCAAGAGGTTTGTATAATTAACACTGTCATATAAACGATAGCCTAAAAAGGAGCAAGAAAGGTTGGGGGTAAAAGTTGGGAGATACTAGAGAATGGATTTATTAATTATTACAATTAGAGAAGTACGAAATTAGATTTAAGGGGATATTTCTGTTTCACTTGGGTAATTAAATGGACCATTGTCACCTTTCTTTTCTGTTTTTGAGCTTCTGAAACCCAAACAAACAACCCTTGCTGATTTTTGAAATTACCTGACTCTAAACCACATATTGCTATTTCTGATTTTATATTTTGAAGAACTTCCAATCTCAGTGCAGTTCCATGCATCACTTGTTGGATGTTCCTATGGGAGTCATGTCAGTCAACTTGGGTTGGCTTCTTATTATGTGTTGCACTCTGAGAACAAACTTTTTCTGTCAAATTTGACGGAACTCTGGTCGTCTTATGATGCATGCTGCATTCTAATGTTCATCAAGTATTCTTTCACCTGAAGTAGGTATTTTGGACTTTGGAGTATATCATAACGTTGAATAGAGAGAGCTGCCTTTGAAGCATATAATGTACTCTTAGTTCTGTCTACATTTGATTGGTTTTATCTATTTATTTATTTATTTTACACCCTCTTTTCTTGTTAGGTGCAGGCTAGACTTGAGGCTGCTAAAAGAGCTGAAGAGGAAAGAAAAGCTGCACAAGAAGCTGAAAAGTTGGCTAAAGAAGCTGCAGATAAAATGAAAGAGGAAAATTTGAGGAAGGATTATGTTAATGCACAAAAGGCTGCATCAATCACATCTGCTGCAAATGTTTCTAAGGAAATGAAGTCATCAGGTATTACCACTTTTTTAGTTTGATTTAACAATCCTACATGGCTTTGTCTTATTGAGGTAAAAAATATACTCTCTTTCATTGTTTCAGTCTTGATAGCTTAACTACTTAAGCATTTACTATGATAGTTGAAATTATCTGCTAGCCGCCTAGTTTAGAAAGGCAAAGGCCACAAGGAGGTTCAATGATTATGTTCAAAGCTCTTGCATGACTGACCTTTACGTCTCCTGTATTGGTTGGCTCATCTTTCATGACTGTGTGGTTATATATTCTCATGGTGTAACAACCGGTATAATTCTTCTATATATTTTTGACTTACGTTGTCAG